GTTAATCAGATAGGGACGAAAGACATTTGTTCTACAGTCACAAAAAATACTATGAACTATGATATCATAACTTGATAGAAGAAATATTGCGATCAAAAAATACAGAAACCTACCATAAGAATCTCTTTTCTGGAAGTGCAGACAGGTTTTGAAAAAGTTAATTCACCTGAAACACAATTTATTCATTAAATATACTTTTTGAATATACAATAGATAACTGATTGTTTTGGTTAAGATAGCAGATGTCCGATCCAGGACCGAGGTATCAACAGTGAAATAAGATGTAAGAAGTGAAATTTTGAAGTATAGCAGAATTGTTTGAAGATGCAAGGGGTGCCAACAACAACTAAGAGAGATAAGAATCAGTTAAAATAGGAAAATGAAAATTTGATAAGCCGAAGGTAAAATAAACATGTGAGCACTTACCTCTAGTCATATATGAAAAGCGGAATTGGGTACGTCAGCAGCACTGCTGTGGATGAAGATCTGAAGCACTCCGTCAGTGAAACAACAATGTGAAGTGTCTCATTGAAGTAATTTCGCAAAAGAGGAAGTCAAATGTGGAGGAAATTGCAGGACATTCCATGCAGTGTGTGGGATTACCAGCGAGAGATGCAAAACTATTACATAAGTAAGACCAAACTAACTTTGCTATGTCAAGAATATCACAGTAGCCAGAAAGATGATGAGGAAATTAATAAAACCCAGGGGAAAACATGAAAATTGCTGAGCTAAGAAAACAGAAATATATATTATACCAACAAAACTACAATCGGAAATGGAGCACTGTATAATCCACGAAATAAAGGAGACACTAAAAAATAACATGAATCAAACAGAGAATCCAGAACAAATTATGAAAATGAAGTTCGACTCATATAGAGAGTGCAATCATCCAACATCAGAATGGGACAACCAATAAGAAAAAGAAAAAGAGGACAGGACATGGAAAGAATTGGAACCGAAGATACTTCGCAAACCAGAAAAGGAAAAGAAACATCGTCCAATACGCTCCAAGATGCCTGAAACACAGATTGGAAATGAGACAATCTTGCTGGAAAAAGTAACAAGGAAAGATAAGGGGCAATCCCGTGCAAATTCATTCCAATTTTATTTACCTTTAGGAAGGTGCAATTCCCTTTCAATGTCCGTCCTTTCAAATCCCGGTGATTCCAAGGTTTCTACACTGCAACAGAAATCCCATTTCATCAAGCACCACAAGAGATCAAAGAGAATATTTGTCTCATATCTTACAAATATTCTACATCTTTTAGTTTCATTTTTAAAGCCTTCCCACGTAAGCAACAAGCATTAAGTAATCTCATGATTGCCCTAAAAATACTGTCAGAGAGGTTTTTTTGATAGTCTTGCTAATTCAGATTCATAAAAATGGTAAAAACTACTACTTGCACTTTTACATATCTCGCCCACTTTTGAGTGCAGAATGCCCCTGGAAGCAGGCATTGTACAGGCCTGATAAAAAGGAAGCGTGTAAATCAGATTAAACTCCTGCCTCCACTACTCCTCTCTGTTAGGGGGACAACTGCCTTGTCGCATTTTAACTGTTAATACTTTTTTTTGTTTTGCAGCACGTCTGATTATTTTGTCTGCCACACAAGGTCCACAAGTACTAATTATTCATTATACATTTACAGAATTAGGAACTACTGTTTTGAAAGAGAGGGCCTGAACATATCTGAGAATGGATGAATAGTGCTGATGTGTAACACTATCTTACCAATGCTGACGCCAGTTGAGAAAGTCTGGGAAAAAGTGCTTGTATTGTTTTTGTAGTTTCTGTGAAATCTGTGGAAAAATCAATTCCACTTCGGTATGCAAGAGTGCATTCTGACAGTAAATTAATTATAAATAATGCAGTGAACTATTGCTGGGAGGAAAAGAAAAAGGAGTTATTAATACCAATAGAAAGATCTATGGATAGAGCTCAGTGCAATACATCGTCATTGACAATACATGCTACTCACAAAAAGGCATGGAAATTATGTTTATTTCTTTTTTGTACGTAACTATTACACAATGTAATGCTCTTGCTCACTTCTACACTGCTGAACCCATTCCCTGCCCCCTACATTATATCTAATTGATCATTATCTACTGCAGAGCACTATTCTCATTCAGTCGGCAGAGACCTCATGTACATAGCAGCACTCCGTCTGCAAATGTAAAGTGAACGAGTAATTTAGCAAAGTGGTAGGACTGCCCTCAAGAAAGATCTTCATAATCAGTGAAAAAGTCAGAGACTAAAACAGAAGAAAAATTGGAAGCTTACTGTAGCATTGTTTGTTCGATTCATTGTTTTAATGAATAAATTATTTCAATTCGTGAATTTCATGCCAGAAATTAATCATATAACCAATGCATTTTGACTCCAAGCGGTTCATGACAGATCTAACGTGCTGTGATTGCAAGGACCTTCTGGCTCTCGCTCACATGACCTGGTTTGCACATTCTTTCTCACTACTGTGCCCACGCTGTTTAATAGACCTCCCTCACTTTCAACAATTTCTATTACAGTGAATTGTATTATACTGACTTATACATCCACTAGTACATTCCCTACAGCAAATCTGTACTTCCACACACATTGAATTCAGAAGATATAATGAATGATAGAAGGAACCAGGACACCATAATCTTCCAATCAACCATTAGATATACTGAACATTTTATTAGAATAGACCAAGGATAACTACCGTTCCAATCTGGCTGTGCAGTGCCAGTTCTTTGGTAGGAGAAATGTTCGGAAGCCTACAACATGAAGGAACACTTGTTGCTGCCGCTACAGACGAAGTGTCTAATGCACGAGAGGTAAATGAACTCATCGTGAGAAACATTTTTGCTTAAGTAGCACGGCCAAGGAACGGTTAATACAGCTGTTTCAGATCAGTAACCTACTTCGCTGCCATAATTCATAATTGATCATATTGAAAAGCGTTTCATTCTATAAATGTTTTTCTTTAGCCAGCCCAACAGGCTTGAACACTAGTTCATGTTTCTGAAATACCAGTTTAGTGTATGCTATTAGAAGGGTTTACCTTCTAATAGAAATTTAGTTTGTTCCAATATTGCCTCTAAAAATATATTGTAAGAATTGATACAGATGTAGAAAAGCATTTAAGATTAATTCTGATAAATGCAACAAACATAAGAACATTAACATTGGAAAGTAAACAGACAGCTTGCAATCAACAAATACCAGAGAGCCCGTGCTGTCTATCACTGATCCTTTTATCATCACTGATCCATTTACACTTGCAATAAACCTCTGCATGGGATAACAGAGCTATGAACACAATTTTAATGTTAGAGAAACAAATACAAATAAATTCTACATGTTACGTGCTGACATTAGTACATGCCTGAATGCCGTCACAATTGGTCTTATGATTGTTTCAAGTATAGAAGCAAACAATACATCCGACAAAAATGAAATAAGCAGCTACAATTTATGTTACCTTCAACTGTAGCAGCAGGAGGCTTCTGCAGTTTGGCTTGGACAAATATTCTAGGTACATCAATGCCTTCTTTTTTATTTACAGTTCTCCGATGGACATAAGATAGAGTCAGAATCTCAAAACCCACCGACTGGAACAAGGCTTTCAGTTCTTCAGTACAAAAGTAGTATGACCTATAAAGAATGAAAGATATATTGACAATCCACTAAAACATCTCACATATCAACACCTATATTGAAGTACATTCAATGGCCAAATTACATAGACATGTTCACAAAATATCACACACCTTATTTGATTACTACTTTCCTTGAATTCTAAGAACTTAGGAATTGATATCAATATTTCCACATTAATATTTCTTTTCATGCTTCTCTAAATATTAGATTTATAATACCAAGAATATCAATTATAAAATATCTCTAGAAAAAATTATGGAGTTAGAAACGATCCAAGTGTCACAAAAGTAAATTTTGAAGCAGTAAATTTTAATAAAATCTCAGCTAAGATGAATTTAATATTATAAAACAGTTTAAATAGCCTCCTTTGTACTAGAGTAGAACCACTTTTACCTCAGGATATCTGATCCATTTCACCTCAAATTTATGACGACGACTCAATGATCCACTGCTGAGGCTACATTACGGCCCTGCGTGTGATGATTTTTAAGGGGGTTCTACTGTAAGAACACACATTTCCTTCTTTTCTTCCAAAAAAGGATCTAAATAAATGTTAAAATTTTAGTTTTGTAATTGAATAACATTTATTTGTATGTAATTACAAAAAAAATTGAATCACATTATCATGAAATTGTACTACTTGCTGTTTGAAGAACAATTTACCATCTTAACCTAAACCTAACAATTTAGCCTAAAATTACTACCTACATATTTGCATTACCAATTTGATAAACCTATACTTCGAGCAATCACATGGATACTTTGAAGAAACTCAATGTCAATTTTGAGATTATTCTCTATTCAGCATTATATTTGAAGGTGCAACTGGGCAGGTACTAAATATCCAGATTGTAAGTTCCAGTTTACTAATAAAAGTGACAAATATACAAAACAGACCTGATATTATTTGGAAATGCATGCATTATTGTAAAACAACTTATACCTTGTACCATCCTGACGAACATAGAAATTGTCAGCTATCTTGCATCCAGGCTTGAATCTCAACTGTGCCATATCATAAAGCCCATAATCACGGAATAACAGAATACCTCCTGGCAGTAACAAGGAAAATAGATTCTCGAAAGTCTTTAAAAATTTGTCTGGATGAATTGCTGAGAGAACGAAGACCATTGTAATGATGTCTATACTATTTTGAGGAATCTTGCTGAAGACATCATCAGTAGTAATATCCACTTGATACGCTTGAATTTTGCTTTCGTCATATAGAGGATTCGATTTCACTAGTTCAACTGCACGACGGGAAAAATCGCAAGCAAACACAAAGAGATCCAAATCCATCTCCAAAAGTGGAAACACCAAGTTCCCCACGCCGCAACCTATTTCAAGCATTTTCCGACGCCCAGGTTTCTCCTGGACGCCTAAAAGTTCTTGGAACTCACGAACAGTCCAATGCCGGTCCTTAAAGAAACGGGTTTCGTTTCTTTTGTAGAAAAGGTCCCAATTTTTCATTGCATCCTTTTCCAATTTATTGGCTTGGAATTCAGATACAATTCTCGAATTTTGCTTTTCTAATTTAACTTTATCTTCAGGAGATAATTCACAAATCTCTGAAACAGGTACATCGATCGAATCTTCAAAAAATTCCATTTCCGTAAAAGCCAACGAAACAACCCACGTGGTTACAACACTGTTGCAGTGTCGCTCAAAATTGATTTGAATTCACAAGTTTTTCTTCTAACACGTAAAACGTATATTTACAAAATAATATTTATTTGCACACGCACGTTATGCGTTTTCCTTAATACAGGCCAAACCGCCGGAACCCCAAAACAAGTAATTACATTGCCAGACCTTCACCGTTCACACCAGGGCTACCGAACTACGTGTTAATTCTCGCGACTAGCGTTAGTGCTGCGCTCGAAGGGGCGG